CGCTCCACATGGACGTGTGGGGCCCAGCCCGCGTCCGTGGTCAGGGTCAGGAGAGGTACTTCCTGATAGTTGTTGACGACTACTCGCGCTACACCACGGTCTTCCCTTTGCGCACCAAGGGTGAGGTCCCTGATGTTTTGATCCCTTGGATCCGCGCTTCTCGTCTCCAGCTCAGCGAGCGTTTCCACTCGGACTTTCCTGTCCTGCGCTTGCACTCTGACAGAGGTGGTGAGTTCTCCTCCGACCTCTTGGTAGCCTACTGTGCGGAGCACGGCATTCGCCAGTCGTTCACGCTTCCGGCCTCTCCACAGCAGAATGGGGTTGCTGAGCGCCGCATTGGCTTGGTCATGGAGGTCGCTCGTACCTCCTTGATCCATGCGGCTGCCCCCCACTTTCTGTGGCCGTTTGCGGTCCGCTACGCTGCGCATCAGCTCAACCTCTGGCCCCGTGTCTCCATTCCGGAGACTTCGCCGACACTGCGTTGGACGGGAGAGGTTGGCGATGCGTCACGCTTTCGGGTCTGGGGATCTCGAGCTTTTGTCCGCGATACGTCTGCGGACAAGCTCTCCTCCCGCGCTGTTCCTTGTGTCTTCCTTGGCTTTGTCCTAGACGCGTCTGGTTGGCAGTTTTACCACCCCACCTCGCGCAGTGTCCTGCCTTCTCAGGACGTCACGTTCGACGAGTCCGTCCCCTACTACCGCCTCTTCCCCTACCGCACTGCCCCGCTTCCCCCCCCGCCTCTCTTCCTCGCGCCAGGTGCTGCTGTGGTAGACCCCCTCCCCCCTCAGGGTGCCGCTCCCTCAGGTCTGTCCCAGGTAGACCCGGTTGAGCCTGCCAAGGTAGCTGTCGACTCTCGTCCTGCTGAGGGTGCTGAGCCTGAGCGTGCGGAGCCTGGGGGTGCGGAGCCTGGGGGTGCGGAGCCTGGGGGTGTGGAGTCTGGGGGTGCTGAGCCTGGGGGTGCGGAGCCTGCGGGTGCTGAGTCTGGGGGTGCTGAGTCTGGAGGTGCTGCGCCTGGGAGTGCTACACCTGGAGGAGCTCTCTCCTCACAGCAGCTGCGTGAGTGGTACTTACAGTACTGCAGCCTCAGGAGAGGTGCTTCTGGAGCTAGGAGTACTGCTGGAGCTGGGGCTAGTGCTTCCCCTCCTAGGCGGGAGCTACCCTCTCCCCAGCGGCTCCGAGAGTGGTACGCACGGCGCTGCAGTCTCCGGAGTGGCGCTCCTAGTGTCGCGGACCCTGGAGCTGGAGGTGCTGCTGCTGCTGGCGGTGCTGCTGGTGCTAGTGGAGGTGCTGCTGGTGCTGGAGCTGCTGGAGGTGCTGCTGCTACTGGTGGTGCTGCTGGTGCTGCTGGAGTTGCTGGAGGTGCTGCTGGTGCTGTTGCTGTTGGAGTTGCTGGAGGTACTGCTACTCCTGGAGGTGCTGCTGGTGCTGCGGACCCTGGAGTTGGAGCTGCGGCTGGTGCTGCGGACCCGAGCGTTGGAGCTGCTGCTGGTGCTGCGGACCCTGGAGTTGGAGCTGCTCCTGGTGCTGCGGACCCTGGAGTTGGAGCTGCTGCTGGTGCTGAGGACCCTGGAGTTGGTGCTGCTGCTGGTGCTGACGACCCTGGCGCTGGTGTCTCTGCTGGTTCTGGAGACGCTGCGCGGCCGCGGCCGTACTTCGTTCCGCTCCTTCAGCAGGTTCTTGGTCAGCCTCCTCCTCCTTGTCCTCCTCCCTCCTTAGAGTGTCCTCCGTCTGTCCAGTCGCAGTCACAGTTACCGTCTGCCTCCCCTCTCCCTGGTCCTTCTCCTTACACTGGTCCGACTGGAGGTCTTACGGAGCGTCGTGAGCCTGAGTCTCGTCCTGCGTCGCCTGAGTCTCGTCGAGCGTCGCCTGTTCGTGCTGCTCACACTGGTCGTCGTGTCCCGCGTCAGCGTCCTCCTGCTGTCCCAGGCACTCACCAGATGGCGCTTCGTCCTTCCACTGCTCCTCAGCGTGTCCCTCTCCCGTCTCCTCCTGCGTCCTCTCTTCCTGCTCTTGCTGACCCTGAGTCTGACTCCCTTCGTGCTACCAGTCCTACTGTCACGCGTCTCCTGGCTACTGTTGTCACTGACCCTTCCTTTGAGTCCACTGCTGCGTCTGCCCTAGTTGCTGAGCTTGTCGACTTTGCTGCCGCTTGTCGTCTAGACTACGCCGCTAGCCTAGTTGCTGAGTCTGAGTCTGTCTGTCCTCCGTCCGTCGGGGGTGAGTGTGCTCTTGGCACGGACGTCCTTGAGGACAGGCAGGAGGAGTTTGAGTGCTTTGCCGCTGCTTTACCTCATCTCGTGTCCATGCTAGTTGCCCCTGAGGGAGACCCGGATGCACCAGACATCCCGACTCCGCGCTCTTACGCAGAGGCGATAGAGGGTCCCTACTCCTCTCAGTGGCAGACAGCCATGGACGCAGAGATGGCTTCCTGGAAGTCCACAGGCACCTACGTCGACGAGGTTCCCCCACCTGGGGCGAACATCGTCAGTGGCATGTGGATTTTCAGGGTGAAGCGGCCGCCGGGTTCTCCGCCTGTCTTCAAGGCGCGTTACGTTGCACGAGGCTTCAGTCAGCGAGAGGGAGTTGACTTCTTCCAGACCTTCTCCCCGACCCCGAAGATGACCACTCTTCGGGTTCTGCTGCACGTCGCCGCTCAGCGTGACTACGAGCTCCACTCTCTTGACTTCAGCACTGCTTTCCTACAGGGCAGCCTGCACGAGGAGATCTGGCTGCGCCGCCCACCTGGCTTCACTGGGTCGTTCCCTCCTGGTACCTAGTGGAGCCTCCGGCGGCCAGTCTACGGTCTCCGATAGGCGCCCCGTGAGTGGCACGACACACTGAGGACTACACTTGCGGCTCTTGGGTTCGCTCCTTCTACTGCTGACCCGTCGCTGTTTCTACGCACCGACACCTCGCTGCCGCCGTTCTACATCCTCGTGTACGTCGACGACTTGGTCTTTGCCACTGCTGACACTGCGGCACTCGCCCACGTGAAGTCGGAGCTGCAGAAGAGACACACGTGCACAGACCTGGGTGAACTGACAAGCTATCTTGGCTTGCGGATCACCCGGGACAGAGCACGGCGCACCATCACCTTGACTCAGTCACACATGGTGCAGCAGGTCCTTCAGCGCTTCCGCTTCACGTACTCCTCGCCTCAGCCCACTCCTCTGCCTACCGGTCACTCGCTCTCAGCTCTGCCTTCGGATGAGTCCGTAGAGCCGAGTGGCCCGTATCCAGAGCTTGTGGGCTGCCTCATGTACCTGATGACCTGCACTCGACCTGACCTTGCATACCCTCTTAGCATCCTTGCACGCTATGTCGCTCCTGGCCGTCACCGGAAGGAGCACATGGATGCCGCTAAGAGGGTGTTGCGCTACTTGTGCAGTACGTCGGGCATGGGGCTAGTGCTTGGAGGACGAGACCGAGTTGCACTCACTGGGCACTCAGACGCGTCTTGGGCTGACGACCAGGCTACTCAGCGGTCGTCTCAGGGTTACACCTTCAGCCTTGGCTCTGGTTCAGTTTCTTGGCGTTCTACACGCTCGTCTTCTGTTCTCAGCTCCAGTTGTGAGGCTGAGATCTACGCCACAGCCATGGCTGCACAGGAGTTACGCTGGCTCACCTACCTGCTGACCGACTTGGGAGAGCGGCCTCGTTCTCCTCCAGTGCTGTACGTCGACAACAAGGCTGCCATTGCCTTGTGTGAGGAGCACAGACTGGAGCACAGAACGAAGCATATCGCTCTGCGCTACTTCCTTGCTCGAGAGCTGCAGCAGCGCGGTCAGCTTCGTCTGCGTTACGTGGCCACTCGGGCCAACACTGCTGATGTGTTCACCAGGGCGCTTCAGCCTTGTGACCATCAGCGCTTCTGTACTGTTCTAGGCCTTGTGCCTACTGGGCCTCACTTGCTTACTTCTTGACTCTGCTTGTACTGTGATCTCTATATATATATACCTGCATGTTTACTCTTGCTAGGTTGTGATCGCTGTATCTCTTGTTATACTATCAACCTGCATGTGAACTGGTCTTGTGACCACTTGCTTGTGCTCAGAATTTGTGTGGTTTCCTTGAGATCCACCCTGAGCTTGCTTTGCTTTGCTTTGACTGGTCTTGTGACCATCTGGTTGTCTCCCACTTAGCCTATGGGGGTGTGTCAAACATTATATGTTTAAATTTTGTAGGCTATAGTGGGTTTAGCCTTAGGGGGTACAACTTTGTTAGGATTTCCTACTTGTATCCCCCTCCTACCTAGTTTCATCCATTCTCGTTCACCTCTACTTTACAACAAGGGTGGAAGGTGGGTGATGCACGGATTGGAAATTTCTTTCAAAACCTTATCCAGAGAGCATTACTCCACACCGAATCTGCATCCTCTTGCTCCCAGTATGGACCAGGTACATCCAGCGCAAAATAGTGCAAGGGTTTGCAAAAGCTGGTGCGCAGTGCAACGATCAATGGCGGATGGTAATGAGAACTGGTGCAATGTAAGGAATTTATACAATTCCTTGTAGAAACTAATTAAAGGACAACACGCTGACTTGCCTGATGGACCATAAGGATGAGCTTTTGAGACCCCATGTATATCTAATACCCGCCTCTTGCAATAACGCAATTGCATTATGACAGTAGGGAAGAGGATTTCCTTGCCTCTGTCAGGGTTGAATGGTGAGTGAAGAAGGTACAGCCTCACTTGCACACTGTTGACACCTATGAGCGCTGACACCCGAGCACAACCACCGCCGTCCTGTCATGCTGCAGCGGCAACCTAGTTCGGATTGTGCGACACCGAAGCCAGCCCTGCGGCATGCGGCTCCCCCACCGCCACTTTCAGCGCTTCCTCGTGCTCTTACCTCTCGCCGCGCGCCGCTCCGCTAGTCTCGACGCTACATTGCGCGGCGTGCCGCGCGCCGCGCCATCACCTCTCATTGCGATTTTTCCGGTAGATAGTTTTCCCCTTACCACTTGCGTAGCGCGCGCCGTGCGCCAGCATGGCGCGAATGGTGCAGTGCCCGCGGTGCCGCGCCGTGCTGCAGGAGCCGCCGCCCAGCAACCCGTTCTACAAATGCGGCAGCTGCATGACCGTCCTGCAGGGTAACGCGCTCCCCACGACAACGCGCTCCCAGGGGTTGCTTATGAACTATAATTACTCCTTCTGTCGATAGGCCCTTCCTCTTTCTCTCTCGTGTCCTTACCCTCCCCACCTTCGTCCCGCCTCCTAACCCATTTCCCTTCACGTTTCCTCTCACCCATTTTCCCCATCTCGTGCGCGCAGCGCGCCACGCGGTGTACGGGGGAGTGCCGCGCCACCCTGTCGGCATTGACGTCGGAGGTCGCTCGTCCGCCTCCTTCTCCCCCCTCCCGCCCCCACACTCGCGCGGGCCCCCCGTTCCGCGCAACCACAGCGCAGACCGCCCCCCGCCGTCTCTCTTCGCGTCTCCGCACGCCACCCCTCCGCGCCCCCCGCAGATCTCCAAGTCGCTCTCGCAAGGCGCCTCCTCCTCCGCTCTTCAAAATACTCCCGCCTCCTCCTCTCCCCGCGCGCCCGCGACCTCCTCTTCCCCGCGCACCTCCCTTTCCGCCGACCCCTCGTCCCTTTCCTTCCGCCCGCGCGCCCTCTCCGCCTCCTTTGCTGGGCGCGGCGGGGCGGGCGCGCGGGCAACGCTGTTTGGGCACGAGATGGCGGAGTGGGGGGACGAGGGCGCGGAGGAGGAAGAGCCCGCGGAGGCAGGCGCAGGGGCATGGGCGGGGGAGGGAAAGGGCGGAGGGGCGGAGCCAGGGGAGGGCGGATTCGGTGGCCAGGCGGACTCGCCTTACCGCAGGGGCGGGGGGGAGGAGCTCAGTGGCGGAGGGGGGCAGGCATGGGCGCAGGCTGGCGGGCGGGGGGAGGAGGGCAGTGGGGAGTGGGGGCAGGGCGAGGGGGACGAGGAGGGTGCGCCAGTGGCAACAGGCAGCAGCCCCCCCAACCCCTCCGCCGCGTTTGGCCGCCAGTCCACCCTCCCCCCCCGCCTGCCCCGCCACGCTAGCCCCCTCCAGACGCCCTCCCCGCGCTCTTCCGCCCGAGCAGGCGCGGCGAGGAGGAGGGCGCTGGGGTCTGGCATGTGGGCGGGGGCAGGGGGGAGCGGGAGGTGGGCGCAGGGGGAGGGGAGCGGCGAGAGGGAAGGGGAGGAAAGGGGAGAGGAGGGAGAGGAGGTGGAAGAAGGGGAGGCGGTGGTGTGGCCGAAGGGGTGGGCGGAGATAGATGCAGCATGGTCGGAGGGGGATATGGGTGGGAGCATGGGCGGAAGCATGGGCGGAAGTATGGGGGGGGACATGGACGGGGGAGTGGCATGCACCCAGAGCATGGATGGCGGGCTTGGCAGCAGCAGGGGTGGGCGGCAGGGCAGCAGGGGGAGCGTGGATGGGGAGGGGGGGAGGGGAGGCAGTGGGAGGAGACTGAGTATGAGTGCGAGCATGAACGCGAGCATGGGCATGGGGTTAGGGTTGGGCGGGTTCAGCAGCAGCAGTGGCAGCGGGGGGGGCGTGTCCCCACCAGCAGCATCAGGCGCATCGGCATCAGCATCATCAGGCGCATTGGCCCCGTCCATGTCGCTGCGCCGCCTCTTCTCCCGCCACGCCTCGCCTGCTGCCCAGCGGGAGGAGGGCAGCGCTGCACAGCTGGCCAGTGCGGGGTCGGGCATGGGGGCGGGGCGAGGAGGGGGCGCGGGGGAGGGCGAGGGCGAGAGCAGCGAGGGCGAGGAGGGCAGTGCGGGCACCTTCACCCGCCAGTACACCGCCCCGCCCCGCTGCTCCGCTGCCCCCCACAGTGACGGTCGCAGTGCGGAGCTTGAACCCCAGGGGCTGAGAGGGGCGGGGGGGAGTGACTGGGACCCGCCTGCTGACCTGGACCGGCAGGGCAGCTTGCCTGCCACGTCAGCAGGCGAGGGCGAGGAGAAGGCAAGGGAGGGGAGGGAGGGGAGGGAAGGGGGGAGGGGTAGGGAGCGGCGCAACATGAACATCAACATCAACATCGGGTCGAAGCTCAAGTCGCTGTGGGAGGCGAAGCCGGGTGCCTCCCCGCGCAGCAGCATGAGCAACAGCGGCGGCAGCGGGCCTCCCATGCAGCGCAGCAACACAGACTCGCGGCGCTCCCCCACGGGCAGGATGGGGCGAGGGGGCATGCAGGCGGGCGACGAGGGCGCCGTGGAGGGCAATGAGGCAGCGGGGTTGTTCCGGTCCCACACGAGTGGACGCATGGGCAGTGGCACGGGCAGTCCAGAGGGTGGCACATGCGATGATGAGAGCGCTGCCGGCAGCGGCAGGCCAGCAGTGCGGCATGCGTCCATGGCTTTCCACTTCTCGCCCGCCGTGCTGCCCCCCTCCACGTGCTCGCCCCGCTCCTCCTCCTTCCACCGCTCGCTCTCCGTGCCTCGCCGCCTGGCTGGAGCTGCAGCCGGCGCAGGAGGGGAAAGCGGGGCAGGATGTAATGGCACCGAGGGGGACGAGAGCGAAGAGGGGGTGTTGCAGGGAGAGGACGTGCAGGCAGATACCGCTGCTGGTGCTCCACTCTCCCCGTCACCACTGTCCCCCTCGCCACTCTCCCGTTCGCCGCTCTCCCCTGCAGTGTCCTCCAGTCGCCACATAGCTCGTAGCTTTCAGAGTGCGAGGGAAGTGAGAGGTGGGGCCGGCATGGTGGGCGCTCATGGCACGGGCAGCGCTCCAGGCTCGCCCATGCGGGGTGCAACGGCCACGCACGGAGTAGCTCGCATGGCATCGATGGCGCGCCATGCAGCGACTGTTGGGGATGCAGGGGCGGAGGAGGCGAGAGGCAGTGGCAGGGCGGAGGGCGGAGCAGCAGAGGGGCGTGAGGAGTCGGAGAGAGGGGAGGGCATTGAAGCAGAAGCAGGTGATGGCAGCCGATCAGGCAGAGAGAGTGCAGCGAACGGCGAGAGCAGAGGAGGGGAGGGAGGAGCGGTGGAGGCGGCGGAGGCGGAGGAAGGGTCAGCGAAGGTGAAGGTGACGCGGCGGCAGTACATGGAGATGAAACGCGCTGCCCACGCTGCTGCTGCTGCTGCTGCTGCTGCTGCTGCTGCTGCCGCCCAGGCCGCTTCCCAAGCTGCTGCTGCCGCTGTTGCAGGTGGCAGCGGCGGGGCTTCCCCACTAGCAGCCATGCCCGCCGTGCCCGCCACCCCGCGGTCGCGCTTTGCTGACGCCCTGCAGAGCCCGCGCCTGCTGCCTGAGTGGCACGGCGGACGCGGCATGGGCGCGGGCAGAGGGGCCGGCAGTGTGCTGGAGCGACGCAAGTCGGGCCTGAGAGGCAAGGCGGCAAGACATGCAGCCACTGCTGCTGCTGGTCCTGCTGCTGCTGGAAGGGCTTCTAGTGAAGGCGGTGCTGTGGGTTGCAGCGTGCAGGGTGGTGGGGAGGGCAGCGGAGGTGCAGATGTGGAGGGTAGTGGTGATGCGAGGCAGGCAGGGATGGTGGGTGATGCAGGGGCACCAGGCGAGGTGGGGGGAGGTGAGGAGGGTGAAGGCGAGGTGGTGAAGGAGGCGAGGGAGGATAGTGGAGAAGCCAGTGCGCAGTTGCCATGCCTGCCGCCGCCTGACGCCCCTCAAGTCGTGCACGTAAGCTCACAGGCACCTCCCTTCACAGGCACCTCCCTTCACAGGCACCTCCCTTCACAGGCACCTCCCTTCACAGGCACCTCCCTTCACAGGCACCTCCCTTCACATGCACCGCCCTTCACATGCACCGCCCTTCACATGCTCCTTCTCATGCGCCGAGCCGACCCATCTGCTATGTGACTGGGAGATTCGGCTCTTGCATGACCCCCAACCCCCCTCACCACCTTTCGTTTCATCCACCCCTTCCCGCTGCCTTTCCCCCCCAATCAGTGTCCGCACTGCGCTCAAGCGCTCGCCGTGCCGCCCATGCCGCGGCGCCGCAAGCAGGGAGGAGCGCAGAAGCTGCGGTGCGGCGGCTGCCAGCAGATCTCCACCTTCGCCGCCCCGCCCCTCCCCGCGCACTCCCAACCCTACCAGCCGCCCTTCGCCCCCGCGCACCCCCCCTCCTCACCGTCAGCGTCCCTCAGCCCATCCCCCAGGCACCCCCTTGCCTCCCCCTACCGCTCCCTCTCCTCCCCCCTCGCGCGCCTCCCCCCCGCCATCCCCTCCAGTCCCCGTGGTTCCCCCAGTTCCCCCGGCGCCACGCCCAGGGCGGCCCCCCAGTCCCCCCAGGGTGTTCCAAGAAGCACGAGTCAGGAGAGTGGGTCGAGGGGGGCGGGGGGGGGCTGGCATGGGCGCGGGCAGGGCGTGGGGAGCAGGCGGGGCGACGTGACACGAGACCTGTCGCCCCTCAGCGTGCCCTCGCCCCGCCTCGCCCGCGCTCGAGGAAACCCCACCCCGTCGCCCCTGAAGGGGCACAGCGGGGCGCGGGGAGCAGGCAGGGCGCTCAATGGCGTGGTGGGGGGAGTGGGAGGAGCAGAGGGGCGGCTGCGGGGCGGTGTGAGCAGCGGTGGGCAGGAGGGAGACGAAGAGGATGGGGATGGGGCTGAGGATGTGGGGGGGCGTGTGAGTGGCCGGGGGGACGAGGGCGAGTGGGGCGGGGCAGGGTGTGGGACGGAAGAGTGGGAGGGGCAGATGGGCAGAGAGGGGCAGGAGACAGAGGGGGAGGGGGAGGGGTGGGTGGGGGAAAGCATGGGGAGCGAGTGGAGTGGGGGGGCGAGCACGGAGTGGAGTGGGGGAGGGGGCAGCGTGCAGTGGAGTGGTGACAGCGCCAGCGAGTGGACGGGGGAGCGCGGCGGGGCGAGGGAGGGCGAGACGTATGAGCGGCGAGTGGTGGTGAACGGGGCTGCCATCAGCGATGCGGACGTGCAGCAGGCCGAGCTGCTGGCCGGACCCATCGACCCCGGCCACTACTGGTGCCCCCCTCCTCCCCCCCCCTCCTCTCTCCCACACCTCCTCCTCCGCTTTCCCAACCCTCCTCAAACCTCGCTCTCTCTCACTCCCTTTACGTTGTTCCATCGCCCCACCCCCTCCTCCGTCTTCCCACCTCCTCTCCCTCTCGCTCTCCCGTGTTCCCTTGTGACACGCAAGTCCGTGTGTCCCAGCCGTGCTTGCTCGCTCAGCTTGCCCCACTGTCCCGCGCTGCGCCCCTACACCCCTCCGCAGGTACGACATGCGAGCTGGCTTCTGGGGAGTCATGGGTGGACCCAGCCTCGGTATTCTGCCTGTGAGTTCCGCCTTGCACCTCCCTGCACCCCTCTGCACCTCCCTGCATCTCTCTGCACCTCCCTCCACCTCCCTGCACCTCCTCACTGCACCTCCCAGCCCCTCTTCACACCTCTGCACCTCCCTGCTCTCCTGCATCATTCATACACTACACAAGGTGGTTCTATTCACTCACACCTTCACACACTCGTCCTTCCTGTGCCCACCGCACGTGCCACCTCCCCTTCCAACCCTTCAACTCGGATCTTTCCTTCCCTCCCCCCTTCTTCACCACCCTGGTCTCCCCCTTCCCTTTCCCACCCCTTTCCCCCATTCACCCGTCCAATCCCATCTCCCCCCACACCCGCACCCTCCGCCCCCCAGGCGAACATACCGCAGCTGAGGGAGCCGATGAGGCGGGACTGTGCGGGGGGGCGCACGCGCGTGCTGGTGAACGGGCGCGAGCTGTGCCAGCGGGACCTGGCGCCGCTCACACGGCGGGGCATGCCGGGGGCAGCGCAGCGGCAGTACACTCTGGACGCGTCGGGGCACCTGCGCGATGCCGCCTCCTCCGCCCTCGTCTCCCACCTCGGCCACCTCGCCCCCTCGTACGCACTCCCTATGCCCCTGCCTGCTGCCTAGTATGCCCCTGCCTGCTCTGTCCTTTTCCCCTGCCTGCTCTGTCCTATGCCCCTGCCTGCTCTGTCCTATGCCCCTGCCTGCTCTGTCCTATGGCCCTGCCCCCTCATTTGTCCCCCTGCCCCTGCATATGCACCCCGTGCCCCTTCGCATGATGCCCCCTTTGCCCCCTTGAATGGCCAACTTTTCAGAAGCACAGTGTTCTATTAACGAAAACAGTAACGCAAACATAGCTTGCAAGGGATATTTGGAAGAAAAAGAGGTGGATGGGGCCAAGGTGGTGGTTGTGAGGAGTGTCACTCACCATTGGTCCCAACATGCGGTGGGAAGAATGAGCTACAATGGAGTAACCATTCAAGGCGATCTAGTGCCCAGGCCAGGCTAGTCACAACACATGTGTGTGTGTGGGCTCCACTTTAACACAACGGATTGCCACCCCAACACAAATGTGTGCACCCAAAATGGGGTACAAGCCCAGGCCAATCGTACACCACAATTATTTGAAGTAGTAACCTAGCATGCTATAGCATATAGTCCAACATGCACCGCCCCCTCGTATGGACCTCCCTGTTCCCTCCCACTCTAGCCATGAACAAAATCCCTTAGCACGCTGAAGGCTAGAGTGCATAAGGGGACATTTACCGAATCAACCAAGGACAGCGGGCCGTCTAGCTGCTATAGCATACAATCTAACACACCTTGAGTTTTGAGACGTCTCAAAAATCCAACACACCTCCCCGTCGTACATTCCCCCCTTTTCCCTCCTATGTCCCCCTCTGCTGTCTAGCTGACCTCCTTTCCCTGCACTATTTAACCCTCTGTCTTCGTCTGCCCTCGCTGATGTTTTTGCCCTCTCCTCTGCCTGTGCCCATGCCTCCCTTTGCGGCCTGTTGCTTGACCTGTTGCCCACACGGTGATGCATCACCCGCAAGCACACTGCGCAAATCGGATGACCACATGCCCACATTGGACATGCTCGCATGCCCACATGCCTGCTTGTCCACATCCCCCACGCGCACTTCATCGACTGTGCTGCACATGCCATGACATGACCTGTTCGGCTCCTTGTGTCAGAGCAACTTACATCCTCTCGCTCGCCACGTTTGCCCCCATGCACTCACCTGGCATTCCTCTTGTGTGCCTCTGTCGCCCAGATTGGAGTCCACGAGAGGCAATGGCATGTACACTCCCTCACCCCACTGAAGCTCTCAGTGCTGTGTCTGCTGGCAGAAGGGGACACATCCTCCGTTGTGTCCCGTTGTGCACACATCCTCACATCTGCTAATCCGCTTCATTCACTACTTGGAAGTAGAGTCATTGTAGAATAAAGCAATATAAATATTGATTTTGTTTCTGATATTTCATGTCCTCCATTATTCAGTTCTATGTCCAAGCACTTTCCCCTCATAATATTGCGTCTGTAACCTAACAGGTCATATGTCAGTACACTTATCAGCTTGTCGCTTCATTATGTCGGACTCAGCTGAAGCCCAGATAAACCGCGAGTGCGATGGTCCAGTTGACTTGCGAACAATTTGCGACACATCCGCCAATCCAAGGCGACGCACACGATCCGTGCAAGGCAGGCGACATTCTCCTCACCGCCCATCTGCCGAAATTTGTACTTGAGAGGAAGTGGCAGCTCTCACCTTTTGCACTGTTCCAGCGCTTTTGAAGGCGTGTTCCCCCAGACATGGCTGATTGCGTTTCAGTAAGGTGCTTGGCCTTCAGACTGAGGTATTGGAATCAGCATCTCGAACGGCCTAGTAGCGAAGGCGAGAGTCTGAGCCTCGTGACCTTTTCAGGGCGGCGTTCACGATTCTATACGCTTCTCAAAGCTTCGACATGAGACTACTCCTCGCCATGTTCCATTACCTTCCACGATCTCGTTGCTAAGCCACACATCTTTCACGATCTGGCCGTTCACTTTGTAAGCATCTCGGTTCCTTTTTAAACTAGCAGCGTTTCCTCCTCGCTCTCCCCGCCGCCATGACCATTCCAAACCCTATTTTCCCATCCGCGTCGCGGGCCGATGTGAGAAGTCGGTACCAGCTGGGGCGGGAGCTGGGCAAAGGCGGCGGCGGCGTGGTACGGATATGCGGCGACGTGGCGACGGGCGAGGCGGTGGCGGCGTGCAAGAGCATTCCCAAATGCAAGCTGCAGGTGCGCGGGACGAGGGGGGAGGAGGATGAGGGGGGGAGGGGAAGGGGGGGAAGGGTGGGCGGGTGTGTGGAGCGGCGAGAGTGCGCACGGGCTGCGGAGGCACACTCACGGCGGATGGGCGCGCAGACGATGATGGGTCGTTGAAGTGGCGGGAACGGCGCGCTGATGGCGTGGTGTGAGGGAATGGCGCGCTGAGAGGAACGACGTGGATGCAGGATAGGCTTTGTCCAATGCGTTGCGCCTCTCGCCATCCCCGTCTCATCCGCCATTCCCTCTCATTCCCATATTTTTTCTCCCCTAACCCTCTCATCGTTCTTTTAAAAACGTTCCTTCCCCGTACTCCCCCCCCGTTCCCCGTCCTTACCCTACGCTCCGATTCTCTGCTCTTCCCCGCGTTCACCCGTGCGCGCAACTGCTGCTCCCCTCGCGTCCGCCACGCGCGCTCACCACCGTCCGCTCGCGCAGCGCAAGGAGGCGCGGGAGGAGCTGCAAGGGGAGGTGGCGGCGATGCGGCGCGTGGGGGGGCACTCGCACGTGGTGGCGCTGCGCGCGCTGTTCGAGGACGCGGAGAGCGTGCACCTGGTCATGGACCTCTGCGCGCACGGCGACCTCTACGACTACCTCATCGCGCGCACCACGCTGCCCGAGCCGCTCGCCGCTGACGTCACCAGGTGAGCCGATCGCTGACGGCACCGGGTCAGTCACAGAGTCTGTCCGCGCGCGGCTGTGCTGTGCTTCTCCTTGCACTGCAACGAGCGCACTGCAGGAGCCCGCCCGTGCCAGCTGTTGCATGCTGCTCTGCTGACTCCCGTGCCCCCACCTCCGCAGCCTGCCATTCCTGCCAGATCCCTGCTCGCCCGCCCCCCCTGCCTCGCATCCGGCGCGCTACACTGCGCCCTCCCACGCTCACCACCCTGCCCACCGCCCTACCCTCTCTCTCTGCTCCCATCACTCTCTCCTTCGCCTTTTCCAAACCCCCTCTTCCCTTCCACCCCCCTCATTCCTCCCTTTCCCCCTCGCGCCTCATTGCCACCCTGCGGGCAGATCCTACTGGCCCTGCACCACTGCCACGCGTCCGGAGTGGTGCATCGGGACATCAAGCCCCTCTCGCGCTTACCCCCGAGCCCATCGCCCCATCCGCGCCCCTTGCTCCCATCCCCTCTTCCCTTCACCCTCCAATCCCCCTTACAGGCAGATCCTACTAGCCCTACACCACTGCCACGCGTCAGGCGTGGTGCATCGGGACATCAAGCCCGAGAACATCCTGCTCGCCGCCAAGGACGAGGCAGCGGGCAAGCTGCACCTCAAGCTCGCGGACTTCGGGCTGGCAGTGATGCTGCGAGCGGGGCAGCAAGCGGTGGGCATGTACGGCAGCGCGGTGTACATGTCTCCGGAGGTCGTGTGCCGCCGCCCCTATGGGCCCGCTGTGGACCTCTGGGGGCTGGGCGTCATCCTCTACACCGCTCTCTCAGGTGCCCCTCTCTTACCCCAGGCCCTCCTGCCACACAACCTCCCTTCTCCGTTCCGCTCTCTCAAATGGTCCGTTGTATTAATTCAGCAGGGGTACAGATATGCAGTTCTATCCATGATAACCTCGATCCCATAAGCCCATCAACTCACACCTCACAGTTCTCTGCCACTCTTTCACTCCCATGTCTCCACCCACACCAGCTGCCACTTCTTCCTTCACCCGCCCATTCCCCCTGCCATCCGCCCACAACCCACCCCCCGTGGCCGCCCCCCCGCAGGCTACATGCCGTTTTGGGGCAGCACGGACGAGCAGCTCTTCTTCCGCATTCTGCGCAACCAGCCCGACTTCTCCATCGCGCCCTGGCCCTCCGTCGCCCCCGCCGCCATCGACCTCGTGCGCTGGCTGCTCTCCTCCGACCCCGCCCACCGCCCCTCCGCCGCCGCCGCGCTGCACCACCCCTGGCTCGCCCAGCACTGCGGCCGGGAACCCCTTCCCTCGCCCCGCCCCGCCCCCTCCCCGTGCGTGCCGGTGGGGGCGCCGGGATGGACGGGCGAGAGCGGTGTGGAGGGCGGCAGAGAGGGGAAGAGAGAGGGGGAGCGCGTGAAAGCAGCAGCAGAGGCGGGTGGGGGTGCAGCTGTGCCGAGGGACTCGGAGGGGGTAGGCAGTGGGAGGGGCGGTGCGGCAGGTGCTGCTGCAGCAGCAGGAGGGAGCAGAGACACGGAGATGGGCGGTGTGGAGCCGCAGCGCACCTCGTGGGACGGCGCTGCAGGCAGTGAAGCAGCGGCAGTGCGAGGAGAGGAGAGGGGCAGGCAGGAGGGCAAGCAGGAACAGCAAGGAGAAGAGGGTGGGAGGCAAGAGCAAGGGGCCGGGGTGGCGGCGCATGGCAGCATGGATGTGGATTCACAACAGGGTGCGAGTGCGGTACAGCAGGGCGGGCGGCAGAAGCAGCCCAAGGCGCCGCCGATCCAGCTGCCTCTCTTCGCGTCCTTCACTGGCCCCGCCTCGCCCCTCTTCTCCTCGCCCACCTCCGCTGCCAATCGTGCTGGCAGCAGTGGCGGTGGCAGCGGTGTGTTCCTCTTCACTGCACGCCCCACCAGCGGCAGCAACAGCCACGCAGGCTCGGGTGGGAGCATGTGGGACAGGGAGGGCAGCAAGGCGAAGCGCAAGGAGCAGCAGAGGCAGCAGGTGCAGCGCCACTCGCATGCTCACAAGCAGCAGCAGGAGCAGCAGCGAGCTTCTGCGGCAGCAGGCAGCAAGGATGCACACAAGGAAGGCACTGCGAAAGCACCCGTGGAAGCAGCAGAGCAGAAGGCGCGGCGGTCGTCGCACTTCCGGTTCTTCTCCCCCAAGCGCAAGGCCCGCCGCTCCCACGTCGTTGTCTCCACCGCCCCGCTCCCTGCCCCTCCGCCGCCTCCCCTCTCCTCCCCGTCCCCATCCCATTCCCCTCTGGGCGTGTCTCAGCCCAACGCCCAGGTCACCCCCCCTGCTGCCCCCTCTTCCTCTGCGCCCATGGCCTCCATCACCGTCCCCCTCATGCGCCGCAACCCCCCTTCCACTTCCGCTGCATCCCCCGCCGCTGCTACTGACGCTGCTGCTGCTGCCCCCACGGATACTGCTGCTGCTGTTTCCACTGCGCCTGTTGTGTCCGTCACCATCCCTGTCATCCCACCCAAACCCCCTCTCGACCCAACCCAAGAGCTCCCATCCGTACCTGAGATCCAGGCGCGGCTATCCGGGCCTGACGGCTCCATACCAGTGTCGTCGCTCTTCTCCTTCCTGCGCCCACTCAACCCCATGGCCGCCAGGAAGTCCTCCTCCTCCCTCTCCCGCGCTGCACACCGCCCCGACTCCGACTCTTCCATGTCCACGGCGCCGCCCAGCTTCCTCTACAGCCCACGCGAGCCCCTCAAGTCGCCCCACCACCACCACTCCTTCTCTGCCGCCGCCACCAGCAGCAGCAGCGGACTGCTCCCCTCCAGCAGCGCTCCCCGTGCGGCAGCGGCTGCTGCGTCGGAGCCGTCGTTTGGGTTGGGGCGCCTGGCGCGGCCGCTGCAGGGCATGGCGGCCCTCATGCGCCCCGCCTCCCCCTCCGCCTCCTCACCCGCACTCGCCCCGTCGCCATCAGACTCACCGCAGCACAGCATGGGGCGGGCTTCACACGATGAGGGCTCCACAAGCACAGGACCACGCACACACCTCACCACCTCCGCCAGTGCACCGAATGTAACCACCATGCCTGGTGGCAGTGCTGCTTCTGCGGGGCCTGCAGTGCCGCAGGCGCCTCGCCGGGCCAGAGGGCTCAGCTCCATAGTGAAGGCCTTTGCCTCGCTCTCCACTGCTGCTCCCCTGGGGAATGTGGGGTCCGGCCAGCAGCACAGTGGGTGGGCCATGGGTGGTGGTGGTGGTGGTGGAAGAGAGAGTGCGAGGGGGGGAGAGGATTCACACAAGGGGCAGCAAGAGAATGGGGATTCGTCGAGTGTGAGTCACTCAGAAGCGGTTAGTGAAGGTGTGTCAAGAGATTCCTTTACATGGCAACGGCAGGGTAGCTGGATCTTTCGACGATAATGTGCTGTGCACGGCTCGGTTGGTTGCCCCCCCCCGTGCGTTTTTGCATTGCGTTCACGGTAACACCAGTGTATGTTCTTTTTGTTTTCTTCAGAATGCAATGCAATTTGAATCACCGCCGCGTCTGTGGCTGGCCATAATGCACGGGTGAAGAGAAACACTCTAAGAGGGTACCACTGGTATTTTTCCTAGGTTGTGTATGAATGCTGCTCCGGGTGGGCTGCTGTGTAGAGCATAATAGGGGATCCTCAAGTGTTAGACTAGAGAATTTTACTTAAATTTGTTTTATCCTAGAATTTAGAGCCTCAGAAGTGATACCGTAGTTCGATTGAAAAAATCCTACATTCCCCACGGAATTTAACAGTACCCTTGCGAAGGCTTTGCACGACGTAACGGTTTGAAATAATTGTCGCGATTCGCGAGAATGTCTGTCTGTAGGAACAAGTTCAAATTCAAAACCTCCTGCCGTTCCAGGGGCTTGACCGAACCTAGAGAATTGCTGTCGCTTTTTATTGGACGGGGACGAAAGATCGCGGTTCCCGCCGTGAGCCTCGCTAGCCGATCCAATAATTCCTTTCCGCGCGCTCTCCCGCCACCCCCTCTATCTTCCCGCGCGCACTCCCGCCACCCCCTCTCTCTTTACGCGCGCACTCCCTTCACCCCCTCTCTCTTCCCGCGCACACTCCCGCCACCCCCTCTCTCTTCCCGTGCGCACTCCCGCCACCCCCTCTCTCTTCCCGTCGCCACTCCGCCACCCCGCGCTCCCATTGCGCGCAATGGCGGACCCGATGGACGTGGACCCCGCGGAAGCAGGCTTGCGGAAGGCGCGGGATAAGGGGAAGGGGAAGCTGGACGACGGGGGGAAGGGGAAGGGGAAGGCGGAAGACGCGGCGGACGGGTCGCGCGGCGCCGCGGCCGCCTCTGCGATGCCGTGGGTGGAGAAGTACCGACCCAAGTCGCTTGCTGACGTGGCAGCGCATAAAGACATCGTGGATACAAGTTAGTAAGGGGGTGGGGAAGGTACTGGCGGCATGATTCGTGGCGCCATGATTCGTGGCGCCATGATTCGTGGCGCCATGCCTCATCATGTGCCCGTTGGGGACACCATCACTCCCTTGACCGTGCCCGCTCTCCCCATCCCTCTCCCTCATCTAGTCAGCCGCCTCACCGCCTCCAATCGCGTGCCCCATCTGCTGGACATCAGCAAGACCTCCTTTTCTCTCTCCCTTTCTCGCCCCTCCCTCCCCCTCTTCTACTGCTCCTTGTCTAACCGTTCCCTCGCCCCTGGCACAGTCAGCCGCCTAACAGCGTCCAACCGCCTGCCCCACCTCCTGCTGTACGGCCCACCCGGCACGGGCAAGACGTCGACGGTGCTGGCGGTGGCGAGGCAGCTGTACGGGGCGGGGGGCGTTCGGAACATGTGTCTGGAGCTGAACGCCAGTGACGAGAGGGGCATTGATGTGGTGCGGCAGCAGGTGCAGGACTTCGCCTCCACTCAGTCCATCAGCTTCGGGTGCGTCAAGTCAAGTCAACGCGAGTCAAGCAAGTCAATCCGTTTCACATCGCATCCATCCATCCACTGTTTCTCTTCGTCTCTCCGTCTTTCCTTCACTTCTCATGCCCTTCCTCCACACAAGGAAACTCGGAAGGCAGTCTAATGATGATATTCCCCCTCCCCTCCCCTTCCCACCACGCTGCTTTCCCTGAGCGCCAAGGTGGCGGTGAAGCTGGTGGCGCTGAACAAACAAGGAGACAATAAAGTTATCTCCTCGTCCACCCTTCCCATACCTCTTCCCCTCTTTTCCCTTCGCCCGGCCTTCCCATACCTGCCGTCCCCTCCCGCTCCCCCCGACAGTGCCAAGGCAGCGGTGAAGCTGGTGGTGCTGGACGAGGCGGACGCCATGACCAAGGACGCGCAGTTCTCGCTGCGCCGCGGTGCGTGCTGCCACTGCTGTGCTGGACTGAGTGTGCGAGTGGGGGAGTGGGAAAGGGAGAGTGGGAGAGTGGGGGAGGGGGAGAGGCGGACGCCATGACCAAGGACGTGCAGTTCTCACTGCGCCGCGGTGCGTGCTGCCACTGCTGTGCTGGACTGAGTGTGCGAGTGGGGGAGTGGGAAAGGGAGAGTGGGAGAGTGGGGGAGGGGGAGAGGCGGACGCCATGACCAAGGACGCGCAGTTCTCCCTGCGCCGCGGTCCGTGCCAACCAACTGCTCTGCTCTGCTCTGCTGCACTCAGTGCGAGAATGCGAGAGCGGGACAGTGGGAGATTGGGAGAGTAGTGAGGGCGTGCGAGGGTGGGAAAGCGAGAGAGTGCGAGAGTGAGTGGGAGAGTGGGAGAGCGAGAGTTGGAGTGTGCATGTGGTATTCTCCGTTCTCTCCTAGTCAGTGCCTTTCCCACCACACCTTTTCTTTCCCTTTCTACTTGGAACCTTTCCTCCCCAATCACCTCTCCCTTCTCCCCTCAGTTTTCCTCACCCACCCCTCCACTCACTCCCTTTTCCTCACCTTCCCCTCCCTCCCTTCACTCCCGTTTTCTCGCCTCCCCCTACCCCCACCCCCCTCGCCCCTTCCCCCTCTCTCTCTCCCCAGTGATAGAGAAGTACACGCGCAGCACGCGCTTTTGTCTCATCTGCAACCACGTCAGCAAGATCATCCCGGCCCTCCAATCGCGATGCACGCGCTTCCGCTTCGCCCCGCTCTCCTCTGCTGACGTCACTGCCAGGCTCAGACACGTCATCCAGGAAGAGGGGTGAGTAGGTGGGGCGGAAGGGGAGAGAGGGGGCGACTGATGACTAGGTGGAAAAGCATTTGTACATTCGCAGGCGCCTTAAAAGAAACGATGGTGAATAGGGGAGGGGGGGGGGGGGTCATGTGGCTGACCGGGAGTGGGGATGGGGATGTGGCCTGATTCGATTGGAAGGAGCGAGTGGTTGATTGGGAGGGTTGGGTCCGGGTGGTTAGCTGGGAGGGGTGAGGCAGTGAGGTATACTAGACTGTATCGGACTTGGAGAATGAGTCGTGCTTGGGCTCCATACCTACACTGCCAATTCACCAATCTCTCTGTCTCTCCCCTCACTTGCCGCCCAGCCAGTCTGGATGTGACAGATGGCGCGCTGTCAGCCGTTGTAAGCCTCAGTGCGGGTGACATGCGCCGCGCCCTCAACATTTTGCAGGTACGACCTCCCCCAGTACGACCTCCCCCAGTACGACCTCCCCCAGGTATCACCTCCCCCCAATAAACGACAACACGGTACAATTGGGACCTCCCCCACGAATCACCTCCTCGCCTCTGCTCAACTTTCTGTTGGTACGGCTTCCCTAGGTATCACCGTATCACCCCATGCACACATGCACTCTCTGCTCTCCCTCTGTTCGCCTCCCAGCTGAGTGAATGTCGCCTCCCACAACATGAGAGGGGAGGCGGTATACGCCAACACGGCCTCCTTTCCCTTCTTGCTCTCCCTTCCCCCCCTCCCTGTTCCCACATCCTCCCCCCTTGTTCACGCACATGTCATGCCCCAGCCACCATGACAGCAACGGCAACCGAATGCCCCCGCTTCCCTTCTCCCTGTCCCCTCTCCCCCGTACCCTCTTCCCGGTATTCTCTCCCCAATGCCCTGGCTTACTCCCGCACACCCTCCCTGCCAGACCACACACATGTCATGCCGCACGGCCATGATAGAGGCGCCAATGTACGCCAGCACAGCCTCCTTTCCCTTGTTGCTCTGCCTTTCCCCTCTCCCTCCCTGTTCCCATCCTCCCCCCTTGTTCACGCACATGTCATGCCGCACGGTCATGATAGAGGCACCAGTGCACGCCAGTACACGCAACCCTATGCCTGCTTGCTCCTCTCCTGTGCCTTCTCTCATAATCTCTCTCCTCTCAATCCCCAACCCCATACGCTCCCCCTCAGTCCACGCACATGTTGTGCCCCACTGTCATGACAGAGGAGGCGGTATACGCCAGCACAGGCAACCTCAGACCCTCATTTCCCTCCTCCCACTCCCGTCACCCCTTCCACCCCTTCCAACCCCATCTGCCCGCCACCCAGTCCACACACATGTCGTGCCCCACGGTCATGACAGAGGAGGCGGTTTATGCCAGCACAGGCAACCCCATGCCCAAGGACATTCAGCAGATGGCGCACTGGCTGCTCAACGAACCGTTCTGCACCACACTGCAACGTGAGCTGATCAGTGGCACCGCAGTGCAACATGGATTTGAGCCGTTCACCACTGCATGACCTGCACTGCATGAGCCGCACTGCATGACCCGCACGTTGTGCACCTGTTTACAGTCTCACAAGGCACGACGCCCAACCATGTCAAGCCGTCCTTGCCTCCCCTCTCTCCTTTCCGCCTGCCTCTACCCCCCCTTTCTCCTCTTGCCTCCCTCTCACCCCGCGTGCCTCCCTCCTCCTCGCGCTCAAGGCAGGCATACTGCGGGTGAAGGAGGTGAAGGGGCTGGCGCTCATAGACATCGTGCGCTACCTGCATGGGTATGTGTGTGTGTGGCTATGTGCTGTGCCGTCTGCATGGGTATGTGCACTATTTGCATGGGTAAGCTGCCTGCAAGGGTATGTGTGTGTGGTTGTGGCACCTGCATGGGAATGTGCATGTGGGAATGTAATGTGTGGTTTGTTATGCTGCATGGTACGTCATACTAACTGAGACGCCCTTTTTAGGTGCCTCAAAATCATATTCCCCATGGTTTTGCGTTTCTACGCATGGTACCCATGCAACGAATGCCCATAGCATGGTACCCATGCAACGAATGCCGATAGCATGGTACCCATGCAACGAATGCCCATAGCATGGTACCCATGCAACGAATGCCCATAGCATGGTACCCATGCAACGAATGCCCATAGCATGGTACCCATGCAACGAATGCCCATAGCATGGTACCCATGCAACGAATGCCCATAGCATGGTACCCATGCAACGAATGCCCATAGCATGGTACCCATGCAACGAATGCCCATAGCATGGTACCCATGCAACGAATGCCCATAGCATGGTACCCATGCAACGAATGTCCATAACATGCTCATTCCTTCCCCCTCTGTCTCGTGCCCCCAATCCCCCATTCGCCCTCCTTCACATGGCTTCAACCTCATGAGCACATATGGGCATGTGCTCTGCCCATGAGTGAGCCGCATGCTCCCATCTCATCTCATACCGCATCCGCCCTCCCTTTGCCTGCCATCCCTACACCGCCACTCACCTGCCACGCTTGCTCTCCCCCTCCTCGCCTTCACCTTAGCTTCACCCCCACCATCACCATGCCAGCTGTCCTTAGCCGCATGCTCACATCACCCGTCTTGCCACTGCATGCCAGCGCATGTGGCAGCATCCTCACATCCCATGCTCACATCCCATCAACACACTGCTCCTCTCCTGTGTGCCACATCTTCTCCATTTCGTAACCCACCCCCCGTCCCCTCCCCCCGTTCACCGCAGCTTCATCCTGACAGTGGACATGCCAGCAGCAGTGCGCATCGACCTCTTTGATGCCATGGCTGACATTGAGTACGTTCCCTCTCTCCTCCACAACCCACTGTGCTCTGGGTGATCTGATACGCACATTGTGCTGACATGACATCGAGTACGTTCTTTCCGATCGAACCTTCTACCCTGCTCTGCCCTCCTTCCACCGTGCAGCTCTCTCTCCTCCATCAACCCAGTGTGCTCTGGGTGTTCTGCTCCATCATTTTAATGTTATTCTTGCCCATTCCACCTGTCCTGCATACCAAGTACCCCCACAGCCACCTCGCATGGTTCATTGCTTTCTTTTCTGCCTCTACGGCCCCACCTTTGCTCCCCGTCTCTCCCTCCGCCAACCAGGTACCTCCCTGACATTCGCCATGATGAGAAGGGGCAGCTGGGGGCAATGCCATGCATTACCTCAGCCTCCCGTGCTCCTTCTCTCCCACCCTCCCTCCCTCCCTCCAACCAGGTACCGTCTGACCTTTACCACGAGTGAGAAGGTGCAGCTGGGGATGGTAACAAGCATTCCCTCAGCGTATACCCATCCCATACTGATCTCCTCTGCTCCCTCCCTCCCTCCAACCAGGTACCGTCTGACCTTTGCCACGAGTGAGAAGGTGCAGCTGGGGGCGCTGGTGGGGGCGTTCACGCACGCGCGCACCAAGCTTGTGGAGGGCGCCAAATAACCTGTCGCCCCGTTGACTTGCTTTGACTTCCTTTGACCTGGGCCGTGGCACGCATACGCATGCAGCTTGGGGCGCTGGTGGGGTTGATAGATAGCACTTGCCCAACCATACCACACCAAGCTCTGGAGGGCGTAAAATACAGCATTTGGGCCCTAGTTTGGCTCGGCCCGTTGCTTTCAAGGCACGCATACATGTATACATGCATGTGGTGTGGGCATGCCTGCATCCATACACGATCCAGAAGGTGCATGTGTCCTAAATGTATAGTTTGCTTGAATCGCTTTCATACTGTATGTGCTACCGGTAAAAGAAATGAGGCTGAAGAAGATTTTTGAACAGCGTCCCAGCAACCTGTACGACATGAGGCAGCGGTTTTGATCCAATGCAATCCTCGCTCGGCCGCCATGGCAGCGCCGTTCAGCGCGCTTGTGGAGTTCCACGGCTCGCGCGTTCTCCTCGACTGCCCACTAGACCCCTTGCCCTGCTTGCTCCATCCCCCCATCCCACCCGCGTGGTTACCAATTTCGCGAGACTCGCCTAGGAAGCTCGACCGTTCGACCGAGCGAGGGAATTCCAGGGAGCCTCGCCCCGTCAACAAAAGCGCCAATATTCGCTGCTCTCCGCGCGCCTCGCAGCATTCGCCACGCGCGCCTTCCGACGCCGCTCGCCTCGACGCACCTCGCGCCACCCGCTGCTCGCCACTACCGCATGCTGATTCCCTCTCTCCTTTCCCCGCACCTGCTGCTGCTGCTGCTGCTGCTGCTGCTGCTGCTGCCGCCGCAGACGAAGCTTTCCATGGCGCAAAGACGGACACCCATGCAGCGCTTGCGCCGGACCAGCCCGATCCTGCAGGTTCGGACCGAGCCATACACCCAACTGTCTCACCTCGCGACCATCCCGGATCAGCCGGCTGGGGCGCTTTCCTCCCCCCAGCCCTGACGTTGCTGCATCGGCATGGCTGCCGAGCCTCGAGGTCAGGCTTAACGCACAGGCGCGAGGTTCGGTGGAGACGGAGGGTGTGCATGTGCTTGGCTGACCGGCAGACGGGCGGAGGCGGGCAGAAGGGGGACGAGGAGGGACGAGGCGAGGGGGCGGAGGGGGAGGAGGGAAAGCGGAGAGAGAATCGTAGCGGTGTTGAGGCGGAGGTGAAGGGAGGCAGAGCAGAGTCGGTGTGTGGTGGAGCGATGAGAGGGTCAAGCAGCAGTGCAGGCGGGCATGACGGCGGCAATGAGGGCGGCAATGAGGGCGGCAATGAGGGCGGCAATGAGGGCGGCAATGAGGGCGGCAATGAGGGCGGCAATGAGGGCGGCAATGAGGGCGGCAATGAGGGCGGCAATGAGGGCGGCAATGAGGGCGGCAATGAGGGCGGCAATGGGGACAGCAATGGGGTGGATGCGAGGGGCAAGGGCAGGAAGAGGGGTGGTGATGGCAATGGTGTGGAGAGCGGTGGGAAGAGGCGGAGAGGGGATGGGGACGAGGGGAAGCATGGTGCAGCGTTCACCCCGACACATGGCCATGCCTTTGACCGCAACCACAGCCATGTCCATCCCCACGCCCATACCCACAACCACGCCCACGCCCACACCCGAGCGTCCTCCTCGCCGTGCCCCGGTGTGCGCCTCTCCTTCCCCCTACCCTCCTCCGTGCCAACCGCCCATCGCTCTCTCTCCCTGCCATTCGCGCTCAGTGCCACGTCAGCAGCATCTGACGTGGACGCCATCCTGATCTCGAGCCCCGAGGGCCTTTTGGGCGTGCCTCTGCTGCTGCGCCATCACCGCCAGCACCACGCCCACCGCCCTCCCCCCAAGGTGTGCCACAGCCACTCACCCCCCCCAAAAATGTGCTTGTTGGTTGCCGAAAAAAAGCGCCCTCCCCTCTGCCTATCTTGCCTGCCTGCCCCCCAGCGCCCTTTCAATATTAATCGACTCCTTGTCTTCTACTCTGCCCAAATGTTACCTGAGTTCGAGCTATTACCCCTAATACCTGTAGGTTGATCTTAGTTTTCCACTAAACGTGGGGTCTGTAAGCTTTCTGCGGTTGAAACTCTTCCAAATCTCGTGCCATTTGAGGCCCACGTGCTTGGCTTGGCAGCGTCGACGGTTCTTTTCAAACACTGCTCCATTGCCCCCTTCGCCGCTCGCCCGTTGGCCCTGTGTGCCCCCCAGGTGGTGTGCACGGAGGCTGCTCTGCGCATCGCCAGGCTGGCGGCCAAAGAGAGGGCGGCACTGGTGCAGGGGAGGGGCGTGCTGGTGGAGGGTGCAGACGACGCACGTGCATCCCTGAGGTGCGCCCTGCTGTCTCGCTGCTGCTGCTGTCATGCCATGCCTCATGCCGTGCTCCCATGCTCGCCACACCGGGCATGCGTGCGTCGCTTGCCATACCTCTCCGCCTGCCTGCCTGCCTCTGTTTCTCTTCATGCACCCTGCTCATGCACTCTCACCCTGGCCCATCTCTTTCCCTTCCCATCCGCCCTCCCCTGTGTCGCCACAGCCACAGCATCAGACAAGGCACACGCACTGCCCATCTCACCCAACTGCACATGTGCCCATGTGTGCACTGCACACGCTTGCTTTCCCCCGCCACTGACGCAAATACCCCACAGGAGGTGGTGTACGTTGCTCGCCTCCCTGCCATCACCACCCTGTTGCTTCCACTACAAGACCTCACCCTGAAACTCCATGCCCTTCTCTCCACCTCTCTCCTTCCCCCCCATCGCCCCCCTCCCTCCCTACCTCCGCTCGTCCCCACCTCCCCCATTCCCACCCACCCTCCGTCATCTCCCTCTCATCCAGCAGCGAGAGTGAGGAACTAGCATGGCTAACGGGAGTGAGGGGGGTGAGGTGGGGGGAGAGGGTGGGTGTGGGCCCAGGCGTCACAGCCACTGCAGCTGCCTCGGGTGGTCCTCTTGGCTCTGCCTCCTGGTCACTCCTTCACTCCGCCCACTCGCCTTCCGACACCACGCACACCTCCCACCCGCACACGACTCTCTCTGCCTCATATCCCTCCTCTCAAGAACCGCTCTCATCCATCTCGCACCCTTCGTCTGACCCTTCTGCCTCTCCCTTCGCCTCTCACTCCGCACCTTCCGCCTCTCCCCCCCTCAACTGCTGCCACCTCGCCCTCCTCTTCCCACCGCTGCCTTGCACCACTCTTGCCGCTCCACAACAGCTGGAGCCAATAAGAGATTGCCACGTGGCAGCTCTGTGCGGGCCCACGTCAATCAGCTCTGCTGACAGCCACACACGGACAGCAGACGGCAAGGAGGGGAGGAAGCCAAGGGTGGGGGGTGCGGAGCAGGGAAAGGGGCATGAGAGCAGCGTGTTGAGTGGGGGAGGGATGGGCGACGAGGTGGGAATGCAGGGCGGATGGAAAGGCAGAGGTGGCGGGACGGAGAGCGAGCCGCTCCGTGAGTCCACAAGCAGAAAGAGTGCTGTGGATGGTGTGGGTTGCAGTGCGGTGTGTGACGGTATCGAGGGCATTGAAGGCGTTGTGCGGGTGATTGCAGGGCGGGTGGCGCAGGGAGGGCGAGTGGTGGTGCCGTGCTCCCCGCTGGGCCCCTCCCTGGACGTCCTGCTCGCCCTGCTCTCGCCCTCCCCATCATCGCCCGCAGCACCGCCAGCAGCACAATCAGCAGCAGCTGCGCCAGCAGGTCCATCGGCAACAGCAGCAGCGCCAGCAGTGCCAGCACCCCGTGTGGGAGTGGGCGTGCCGGTGGTGTACCTGTCGCCGGTGGCCAAGCAGGCGCTCTCCCTCGCCTGCATCCTGCCAGAGTGGATGCACCCCCGCGTGCACGATAGAGTGGGTGTGTTTGTGTGTGTGAGGATGGGTCTGGAAGTGAGTTTGTGTGTGTGTGAGGGTGCGTGTAGATGCATGTTTGTGTGTTGTTATGTGTCGCATGTGTTTGGGTATGTGTGTGGTATGTGTGTTGGTATGTGTGTGGTATGTGTGTTGGTATGTGTGTGGTATGTGTGTTGGTATGTGTGTGGTATGTGTGTTGGTATGTGTGTTGGTATGTGTGTGGTATGTGTGTTGGTATGTGTGTGGTATGTGTGTGGTATGTGTGTTGCTATGTGTGTTGGTATGTGTGTGGTATGTGTGTGGTATGTGTGTTGGTATGTGTGCTGGTATGTGTGTGGTATGTGTGTTGGTATGTGTGTGGTATGTGTGTTGGTATGTGTGTGTATGTGTGTTGGTATGTGTGTGGTATGTGTGCTGGTATGTGTGTGGTATGTGTGTTGGTATGTCTGTTGGTATGTGTGTGGTATGTGTGTTGGTATGTGTGTGGTATGTGTGCTGGTATGTGTGTGGTATGTGTGTTGGTATGTATGTTGGTATGCGTGTGTGTGCACAAATATATGTCTTCATGTGCGGGAGTGCTTGTACATAGGAGCTCGCCTTATTCTGCCACCAGTCCTTCCGTGTGCTCACACGTCCCTTTCCCACAGCTGCCATCTGTGCCTTGAAACAAGCACATATCCTCTTTTAGGCAAACACCTCACAGATGCTTTCTTTCTCTCCTTCTCTCTCTTCCTGCCCCGCTCCCTCTCTCCTCCCTCCCGCAGCTCTTCTCAGGTCAGCCCATCCACGCCATCAGCAGCGCCCTCCTCTCCCACCCTTCCACCAACCACAACACCAAACCAGCTTCCTCCCTTGCTGACGCACATGGTGACGCCAGCATGGGGGTGCGCATGGTGGAGCTGCCAGGAGCCGTGGTGTTCCTGCCGCCAGCCTGCGCGCCCACCATGCTGCACAGCGAGGAGCGGCCAGGCGAGGAGCGGTGGGACAAGGGCGGCCGTGGGAGGCCGAAAGCACGGAGGAGGCCGCAGGGCTGTCCGTGGAACCACGACTTGTGGTGACCGCCCTCTCCTCCCCCTCTGCCCTCTCCACCCTCTCCTCCCCCTCTGCCCTCTCCACCCTCTCCTCCCCCTCTGCCCTCTCCACCCTCTCCTCCCCCTCTGCCCTCTCCTCCCCCTCTGCCCTCTCCTCCCCCTCCGCCCTCTCCTCCCCCTCTGCCCTCTCCTCCCCCTCTGCCCTCTCCTCCCCCTCCGCCCTCTCCTCCCCCTCCGCCCTCTCCTCCCCCTCCTCCCTATCCTCCGCCTCCTCCCTCTCCTCCCCCTCCTCCCTCTCCTCCCCCTCCTCCCTCTCCTCCCCCTCCTCCCTCTCCTCCCCCTCCTCCCTCTCCTCCCCCTCCTCCCTCTCCTCCCCCTCCTCCCTCTCCTCCCCCTCCTCCCTCTCCTCCCCCTCCTCCCTCTCCTCCCCCTCCTCCCTCTCCTCCCCCTCCTCCCACTCCTCCCCCTCTCCCCACTCCTCCCCCTCTCCCCTCTCCTCCCCCTCCTCCCACTGCTCCCTCTCCTCCCACTGCTCCCTCTCCTCCCTCTCCTCCTTCTCTTCAGACTCCCACCAACGAGCTCTCCTCACCACCCACCCCACCAACCCTCTTTCTTCCCCTTCATTTTTTTCACCTGGCGACCATTCCAACCTTCCAGGAACCTTCTCCACGGCCCGTGCGTTGTGTTTGCCGCCCACTCCACACTGCGTGTGGGCCCGGCAGTGGATCTGATTCACCTGTGGGGCGGCGACAGCCGTGCTCTTCTGCTGTTGCTCGAGGTACACTCCTGTTGTGGAGTATCGCTGGGGCTGGGTTTGTGTCATTGGGTGTTGAATGCATCTGACTCTCATCACCATAGCCTGCTGTCAGTCACTCATTCGCAACACTTTCCTTGCACACCTTGCTTCCTCGTCTTGCACTTGCCCTCCATGCCTCTTCGTCCTTCATATGCTTCCTCCTTCTACTTTACCTGCCCAAACCCCTCTCTCTGTCGACCTTCTCCCCCGCAGACTCATCCTGAGGACGTGCCAATCACCATCTCGCCATTTCAGCCGCTCGCCATGCACGTCGCCACGTGCTGCCTGCTACCCTCTCACAGGTCTTGCTCACTTGCTATGCTTTTGTCATTTGATCAACGTGATTAGAGTTATTTTTGTAGTAGCCACGTGATAAGAGCGAGTTTTTGAGACGACTTAAAAAATCACGTAATGAGAGTGGATTTTTCAGACGTCTAAAAAATCCACTCTTTTGTCATTTGATCAATGTGATGCCACCTCCGTGAAGCCACTACCCTCATGGCCCCCCTTTTTTCCTCATCCCCCTGCCCTGTCCCCAGGCGGTCAAGCACACTGCTGCCACGGGCTCCTGGTGTAGCTGTTACGGCCCACATGCCACGGGATACTACTGCGGCAGGAGGCACGCCCATTGCAACGACTGGGGCACTCAAGGCTGTGCCTGCGGGGCATGGGGGGCACGTGGAGGATGGGGAGGGAGCAGGTGGGGATGGAAGAGGAGGCGTGGCGGTGGGCGGGTCAGGCAGTGTGAGGGAGCTCATCAACAGCATGCCACGGCTGCAGCATCTCATAGTGAGCCCTGCAGCATCTCATAGTGAGCCCGGTAGCGTTCATCAATCAAGGGCCTGTGCTGTGCGTTTGGAGCTCCCTCTCAACAGCTCATATAGTTCCCTTCCACTTCCTCTCCCTCTGCCCCTCTCCTTTCTTTCCGCCGCACTCCTTTCTCTGTGCCGCTCTCCCTCCTTACTCACCGCCCCTCTCCTTACTCACCGCCCCTCTCCTTACTCACCGCCCCTCTCCTGTCTCTTCCTCCCTCTCCTCTCTCTCCCGCCTTCTCCTCTCTCTCCCCCCCTCTCCTCTCTCTCCCCCCCTTTCCTCTCTCTCCCCCCCTTGTATTTCTCTCCCCCTTCTCCTTCCCCACCGCCCCTCTCCACAGGTCCCAGAGGCCCTCCACGCCCACCTCACTGCAGGCCTCCCAGCATCCATCGCTGTGCACCTTCTCAGCACCGCCAGCTGCCACCATCCCCATTAAGCACCATGCGCTCATCACGCTCACTGCCATCCGTCTTGGAACCCACTGGGGCGATCCCTAGCACATCTGCACTGCTGTCTCCTTCGGCCAGGGTCGGTCAAGTGACCTTTCACACGGCGGATGAAGTTACGATATGCATCACGGCTTCATTTCTAGCATGCAAGTGTTCTGAGCCGGGGGGCGTTTCTTATGTGGTGTTATCCAGTCCCTTGCTTTGCATCACACTGCCCTGCACCACCACAACATGCCTTCAATGTTTTTGGCAGGCTTCTCTCTGAAACTCTTTACTAGGAAATCAGATGGGTAACTCACAAATACAACAGAGCCATCTAAGAAGATCACAACAACTGATCCACCCTGACGATTTATTGCCATCCTAAGGGAATGCACCAATAACAAGCCATGGCCCGGGTGATCACAGGTTAGCAACAGAGGCGGTGATACTGCCGCGCAGCATGATGCCATTCAATATTCATAGCAGTTGTTTCTTTCCAGGTTCTCACAAAGGGACGGGATACTGGACTTTTTTTACACAAGCACACAAACAACTTTCAAGGTGTCATCCCTAAGAGTTGCTGCCACGTATTGAAACCATGGCACCTAACTGGTGCTCGATTGATACTGGACAAGGAATATGGCAAGAGTTTACCCACCCTGATAATGCATGAACAGACAACACAGTACAACTGCATCCTATACAATACAAGGCATGGCCCGGGTGATCACAGGTTAGCAACGGAGGCGGTGATGCCACCGCGCAGCGTGACGCCGTTGACAGTGATGGTGGAGTAGAAGGCGGTGGGGTTGGAGAAGAACCCCGCATCCACCAGCGCCTTCACCCTGTTCACCGGCCTGAATGGCATGGTGACGTTGGCCAGAGAACTGGCGGTGCAAAGGTAGATGCCGAGTATGGTGATGGGCTTGGGCACGCATGCAAACGTTGCCACGAGCTGGCCCGTGTTGGTGTGGTAGGAGGAGTTGGAGAAGACTGGCGCTGGGCTGCTCGGCACGTTTGTCACGGTGAAGATGAAAACTGCCCTTTGCTGCGCCGATGTGCTGTGATTGGGTGGAGAGGGATGCAGGGGTGAGACGGAGCGGTGAGATGTAGGGGTGAGACGGAGCAATGAGATTTAGGGGTGAGACAAGACAGAGCACAGGCGCAAGGGGGAATCAAGTTCATTGGAGGCGAGAAGTTTCAGAAACTGGAATGGGAAACATGTGCGCAGAGGTTGCGATCATCATGCGATTAGAAAGGGAGCGAGTGACTTGCACTCACATGTTCACATCAACGATGAACTTGGCGCCCATGTTGGTTTGTGAGCCGAGCTCTGAAGAAGCTCGGTCTGCAGCGGGCAGACGAGGGGACACGCCGGGCAGAAGAGGGCACAGTTGAGTCATAGAGGCATCAGGAACAGTGAAAGCAGGCAGGAAATGGTATGCTGCAGTAGGAGACAAGTGCCATTAGGTGGTTGGGGTTGATGCATGTGCATGTGCATGTGGATGTGCATGTGATGTGCATGTTCATGAACTCACATCTGACGCTCTTTTCGCCGGCGTTGTTCGACTCGCCGGTACCCCCAGTGCTGCTCCCAGTGGTGCTGCTCCCAGTGCTGCTGCTCCCAGTGCTGCCTCCACTTATGGAGTCCCCAGTCTCCCCGGCGCTCGCGGTGCTGCCCCCACTGATGGAGTTGGAGGTGCTGCCCGTGCTGATGGAGTCGGAGCTGCTGCCAGCACTGCTGCTGTTGCTGTTGCTGTTGCTCTCGGGTTCACTGCTTACAACTCCAATAAGTTCGGGTTCCGTGCTCCCGCTGCTTATGCTGCCACCGCTGCCGCCGCTCGTGCTGCTGCCACTCGTGCTGTCGCTGACCGTTCCAGTGTCGAGGTCGTGGCTTGCATCCTGCAGTACACGATCGCCGTGCGATGCGCTGCAGAGGGAGAGCGAGAGCAGTGCTGCCAAGGTAAGGGGGTGTGCAGGAAACAGTGCAGCGAAGCAAGGGGAAACAGCGTTGCAAAGCATGGGGAGACAGTGTTGCGAAGCATGGGGGAAACAGTGCTTTGCGAACCATGGGGGGAAGCAGTGTAGCGAAGCATGGGGGAAATAATGGAGCGAGGCATGGGGGATACAATGGAGCGAAGGATGGGGGAAACATGCATTCGCGGCCACGAGAGTTGCGGCTTTGGAAGAGGTGCGATTTTGTGCGGACAGGTGGGGACGCTACGGGGGAGGGAAGCGCGGAGGCGATGTGGAAGGCCCGCGTGTGGGGCTATCGATGATGCAGACCCGCCGGCGCGCGATGTACCTCGGCGCAACGACTCTTGGGCGATCGACGTGGCAGAGAAACAGGAGCGACACGGCAGGGCGACGAAAGAATGGCTTTCATTCCTCCGAGGAATCCGAACGTGTCACTTCGCGCGGTTTCACGCGTGTGGCGATGCTGAGGGTACGCTAACATGGGTTTGAGACAGCTCCGGCATACCTCTGGCATACATCTGAGAAACGCCCTGGGTGGATACCCTGGCATACATCAATTTCGGTCCCTCGAGGCCCACCCCATTCTTTGTGACGGAGGCGACATGCAACGGGGGCGACGAGATGACACGGGAGGGCGACGAGGTGACACGACCAGGCGAATGACATGCTGAACGACGCCTCGGAGGCGACAGGTCGAGGGGGACATGCAACGGAGGCGACGAGATGACATGGAGGGCGACGAGCGACACGACCTGGCAGAACGACGAGGCGACATGGCAGGGGCGTCGTGTGACATGGCAGGGCGACGGCAGGACAACGAGGCGACGCGGTGGGCTCACCAGCGATGACGACGGCGAGGCGCTTAACGTCGAGTGACGGCGAGCGAGAGAGCGACGTCATCCGGGCCATTTCGAACCGCGGCGTGAAACTTGGGGTTGCAAGTCGAACTTGAGGCGATTCCGAGAATTGTGAATGGAGAGGATGATAAATGAGTGTCTAAAAGCAAGGCGAGTCTGCGCTGCGAATTAAACGAAGACAGCGGAAGCGTTTGATGCTCTTATAGAAGGAAAACGGAGGGCGCAGGTGGGTCGTGCTGCGCCATGCGAGTTCCTCCCCCTCGCTCGCTGCACCATTCGCGCTTTCAGGAGCTCCTGGCGGTATGCGCTGCATTTTTCGCGAAAATAGTAATTACAGAATCTCATTGGGTAATTCTATCCAACACGCCTGGTTTCTTGCCACTGTGTGTGGAAGCCACACGACGGAATACTGTGTGTGCTCCGTTATGTTCGGCGGTGCCTGCCTGCGAGCCGCATCCGAAAATCTGCTGGGCACCTGGCGCCTTGATGCAGGTGTCCGTGAGTAGCGCTGGGGCTGCGTGCGAAAGTGCCGTCACCTGCTGACATGGAGGTAAGGACGTGTCTCACTTCCGACGAGTCTGCGAGCCGGTCCGCTCTTGGAAATGTTGCACCCCAAAACCGTGGACTGGTCCGCCGGACCAGGTTGAGTCCGTACTGGCGAACCAGCTTCGGACGGGTCCGCTGATGAAATCTACAGTGGCGTGAAGGCGAGAACACTGCGTATTTTTCCCAACACTAGGTTACTATGACTCGTAAGGGCTTCATGTCATTGGGCAATCCGCCATCGCGCGCTGTCAATTTTTGCGACACTTGTGGGGTGATTTCGCAACTATTCGTGAAAAGACGACTGTTCAGGAGTCCGACGTGGACCAGCTCGCCGAACCAGTCAAGACTCCCCAGTACAGTCCTTTTCCGTCGTTAAAACACGCGGGTCCACGCTCCGGTCCACGCTCGGGTCCGTGGTGGTTTGGTGGACTGGTCCACGTTGACCGCCTAGATCCAGCGTGGACCGAAGATTTTGAGACACCTTCTAACCAGCGCGATGCAGAACCCGTAGGGTGCTGAAAGTGTATCCTCCCTTAGCATCATTTTCACAACAAGGTACAATTCGTTCATTCACAAGCCAGTTGTTGGCCCATTGTAACAAAACAGCAAAACAGCACTACCACCATGATCTGTGTTGGAATAACCGATGGTTATTATGGCATTCCCGAAGGCTTCCCTTAGCGCATCGCTTCATAACGAGGCAGAGATTCTGTACTAGTATCGCGTCAAGCTCATAAAGAGCACGCGGCAACCTGAAAGCCACCTGAAGGTCAAGAGTCGCATGAAGTCAACAGTCGCGACTGTTGACCATCCAGTTTGTTGTTATAATTGAAGGATCGTAGTGGACAGGATAACGCTTGCTAAGTATGCAAGAGAGCTTTAAGAAGTCTCTGTAATGACCTTGTTAATAGAATCTGGAAGAACAAGATGATTATAACAAAGGAGTACATGAATATAAATAGCAATCCTAGCTAGCCATGTACTCTGAGGGGTACATTCCCTTATTAACTGAATTACATTGCTACAGTAACCACGTCTATTGCGATTCTAGACAGTTACCACGTTGCATCTCGTAACCGCCTCGTGCGGTTACTCGTCAGTTAAGGGTCGCGACCGTTGACTGTCTTCGACTGTTGACCTTCGGGTGACCGTTGACTGTCTTCGACTGTGGAGAGCCTTAGGGAATGCTTATGATAACCTTTTCGGTTATTCCAACACAGTAACCGTACTCGGAAGTTACACGATGCAACATGGTAACTGTCGAGTAGAGCAATAGTCGCGGTTACCGTAGCAAGGCAATGCAGCTAATAAGGAAATGTACCCCTAGGAGTACATGGCTAGTTAGGATTGCTATCAGGGCTCTCCCTAGGGTCTGAGGTAGGGTGTTCGACATCAGACATTTTTTTATGTTTGTCTTTAAAATCAGGGGTTTTTTTGTTGTGGAATCTGGTTTCTAAGTTGCATGTTTCTGGAATATTTGATGGGTTAGAAAATACTTTTAGGAAATGTATGATTGAGTTACAAGTGTTTTTCCTAGTTCATCTGATTTACAAGGGAACATTACCACGCTTGTCTGTAACCGAGGCTTATCCATTTCGCCGTGATTGACGGTACTTCCGTCGATCACGGCAGATACCGAGCATCCCATGTCATGTTTGGGGTGACGACGCATCATTCGCGCACCGATGGCTGTCTAGGTTCAGCCAGGGTTTGTCATGTGTATCCCGACGTGCCTGTTTCTGGATGATTCTGCAGCAGCTCTGGCTCTCATTGGGCAGTTCTTGCCAGCACACATGAAAGCGGGTAGCAGCGGCACGCACCGACGATGTACATTTGTCGCGCTGGTCCATGTGTTCGTTGGGGCACCGCGGTGCGTGCCATCCCAGGCAAGCCAATGACTGACACGGTGTATAATGTATGGTCAAGTTTATCTTGTTTTACCCCCCCCCTTTGCCACGCCTTAGCAAAGCCCTCGCCAAGCTCTCTCGTTTCTCGCCCAGGCATCACCCGCTCAGGACGTTCACGCCATGGATGATCCTGGTGACATGCCACCAGATACCCGACTTGCTGCTCCTCCCAGTTCTATGGCCCCACAACAGAAGACAGGCCTAGACCTTCTCAGACGCGTTGCCCCGACAGCCACGCCTGTATTACCTACCGCCGAGCCGCCCACCCCCGTGTTGCCCCCCGACAATCCTCCCACAGCTAGTACCGAGCCGTGGCCCGAGGCGAATTTGCGCCGTTCGCTAAGCGAACAGCCCGTCGATGCATCGCCAAGTAATAACGGCGGACGGGTCGCAACGTCTTCCGTCAGTGCTGCACGGTCAGCGAGCCGTATTCGTTTCCCAACAGCTGGGCGCTTCACGCAAAGCACGCTTCGTTTCGCCCGTACTCGTGTGCCTCACGTCCGCATCACGCAATCGCGGCCGCGTGCGGAGGCAACGACAGCCACGCCACCTGCTGCTGCTGGAGGAAGTGCTCCGCGACGTGACCCGGGTCCGTCAATGCCTACGGTGCTAGTGCCTGACCTGGACGCTCTCTGTCCGAGTTGCGAGCGAAGTGCCGCGACATATGGCAGCGATGGTTCCCGTGGCTGGTGATTTCGCAGCGCAACAACGGACAGCCGTGCATGAAATGCACGATCTGCACAACATACGGACCTCCTAACTGGCAGTACGGGAAGAACGGGCAAGGGGGAATCGACATCCAGAAGCAAACCATGCGCAAGCATGGTTTGTCCCGTAAGCACCAGGACGCCCTCAACAGGAAGGAGCGCGCGGAAGGTGGGAAGGTTGGTCAGCGCGGTATTGACGAGTATGAGGATGAGTCTGGTGAAGTGGCGCGGCTGAAACAACTTCTTTTAGTTGTTTTATTCATTTGCAAGTCGGATGTTCGCATCGCTTTGTTTGTTGGGCTTGTGTCGTTGCTTCAACTGCTCAAGACGCCCAACATCCTGGACAAGGCGCTCGGGACTTACCTGTCAGAGTAAGTCGATGATCGTGGGTTATGATTCATTGCATCCATGGCGGCTTTACTAATTATTACTGTTTTTTACGTGCAGCTATGGATTTCGGTAGATGACAGAGGCCTTGTTGAAGCACCTCAAGGCTCGGCAGATGCAGTACATCATCGAGTCACCCTACTTGGGTATTCAGCTGGATGAGTCTACTGATAGGCAGCACGGGAAGCATATGATCGTGTACTTGAGCTTCCTCAAGGACGCGAAGGTGGAGTGCGAGTTCTTCGGGCACCTCACCGTGGAGAAGTGCGACACGTCATCTTTACTGGCCATGCTTCTGGCACATCTGGAGAGCACTGGAGTGGATATCAGTAAGATCTCGGGCATCAGTACTGACGGCGCGAATGTGATGACCGGAGAGAACAATGGGATCTGCGCTCAGCTGCGGTTGCGCATTCCACATCTTGTGGCAACTCATTGCGTCGCTCACCGGTGAGTAGTATTGGTTTAAACAAGTATGTGCCCTTCCACATTGAATACCCACGTAGACCCCTCACTGTTCTTTTTGTTGTGTTGTGCAGAGAGGCGCTGGCAGCTAAAGACGCGGCAACTAACGTGAAGGACTTCAACATCGTCGACAAGGTCGTTCGTTCCATGGCGAGCCTCATCGGGAATAGATCCGTCGTCCACTCTCGCTTTCTGGAGCTCCAACAGATTCTGCACGCGACGCAGCTGGAGATGCAGGGTATCAAGGATGCGCGCTGGCTATCGCGTGGAGACGCCATCGATCGCTTTGTGGCCGTCCTTCCCTCGGCGATCGTGTTACTGCATGAGCAGGACAAGGATACGTATCACATGGTGACAAGTTTGAAGTTTCACTTCTTCTTGTACTTCATTGCCGACGTCCTCAAGGAGTTGAACGAGCTCAACAGAAAATTTCAGAGGCGCGCGGTGAGTTCCGGTAATTGTTCAAAGCGATCTTTCTTGGACCCGTACAATCGGTTGTGCTAACATCAAGTACTTCAACTTGTTTTAGGTGGACGTCACTCATGTGTCGGGGATGGTGGAGAACACATGCGCGAAGCTGACGGCGCGCTACGTGGAGTACGGTGTCAACTTTGCAGAGGACAGCGACCGTCTCACTGCGTTCCTGGAAGAACGCACGCATCCCTCCCGCCGTGAAGTCAAAGTGGAGGGGATGGACAGCGAAGGCAACGCCGTCACTCACACCTTCCAGTTGCACGAGCTGCCAATCCCAGGCGTGGACTCACCACCGGATTTGGAATCGTGTGTGCGACTTGCCACCAAGTTTGCGAAGGAAGTGGTTGGCCGCCTCAAGTTCCGGTTTAAGAGCTTGGCGACCTTGGTTGGTTCCAAGCTCTTTCTGCCCGACGCCTATCCAGATGGTGCTGCAAAGCGTGATCGCATCACTGGGAAGTGGTTCCGCTCCCTTCGCACGCTCTTCAACGGCGATAACTGTGCTTTACCTGATACGCATCCGCATTGCCGCCAAACTCTCTACGTGTTGATTTGTAACTGTGGATGTGTACATCGTTGACCACTTTGAGCACTGACTGCTTGTTTCGTTTCATTATGCTTGCTAGGTGTCAGCTGGAAGGAGGCCGAACGGAAATTGCCGCGCTTCACACGGATGATGTACAAGCAATACAAGGATCAGAGTTTCCACGGAGGCCTCAAGAACATGATGCGAAGCAGTGACTTGGAGACGTCGTACCCAAACCTCGTCCGCTTGTGGATGGCCGTCGCTGTGTTACCGCTCAGCACAGTGAAGTGCGAGCGTGGTTTCAGTCGCCAGAACGTCATCAAGTCCTGGCTTCGTGGCAACCTGTGCGACGCCAGGCTTGCTGATTTCATGTGCATCTCTCTCCTGCGGTACGAGCCAGACTGGGACGATGTAGTTAAGCTGTGGCGTGGTGCAAGGCAACGGCGCCCTGCAAAGGAAGACAGTGGTGAGGCTAAGAAGGACAACAAGCGCAAGGGGCTGGCAGCTGAATCAGATGACGTGGCACCAGAGGCAGAGGCAGTCGAGAAGGCATACCCTGCCGTTAAGAAGCGACGCAAGAGGGACAAGGTTCCAGAAAGTGATAGTGAAGATGATGGCCTGGATGTTCGTGCAACGCAACCCTCACCAATGATTCTGACACAGAGTAGCTAAGTGATGGTGCTTCAGAGACTCGTAGTGTAGGTAGCTTAGAAGCTGACCTGACTAGTGTAGAGTGGTTTCTGGAATCTTGTTGGTAAACATAGAGTTTTCTTTTCGAAATTTTCTGACTTATAAGTTAGGACAAATTATAATATCCGATGCAAAAGGCGGGCCCTAATTGAAATGTCTGATGCAGAAGACGGGCCTGAAGGGCTCGTCTGATGCGTCACGCGGGTTCTGGCACTAGCGGGACCCTAGTCTGAGGGATGTCTGATGCATCAGACGAGCCCAACGGGCAAAAAAAGGTTTTTGTCTGATCCTAACTGGACGATCAAATGAAGCAAAAAAAATCTGTCTTAAATCTCGGACAAACAGACAAAAATATCTGATAGCGAGGAACCTGATTGCTATTATATCCTTGTACGGTACTCCCATCTTATAATAATCCTGTTCTCTTTCAACTATTATTAACAAGGTTTTTACAATACTTCATTGTCTTCTCACAAACTTGGTTAGACTTATCCTATCCACTACCATTCCCGGTTATATCAACATCGTATGAGAGCTAGAGTGGATTATAAGATGTGCCAAGTTCCCGTTCTTCCTAGAACAACTCTTTGTAAACTTATCCCTTAAAATACCTGATACAATTCTGCATCACTATAGCTCCTGAAGAAAAATCTATTGCAGACTCTCCGGGCCCACCACCAGCAACGAATAATGTGCCATCAGCGGTGACCTCCGTCAGCGCTTCCATCGTCGAACAACTCGTTGCTCGCATCAACGTTCTTGAGAGCCATCAAGCAATGAGCATCGACGCCTCAAGCTATGCCAGATGAGTTGCTACACTACCTCTTCCAGGAGAAGACCGTCGCGTTAACTCCGAAAGGTCCTTCACGTTTGACAACCGTCAAGCTTCAGTTCCTGCGCAAGGCAGTGAGCAACGCCCACAGACAGAGGCAGTTGCAACCATGCAAACATTTTTTTTGTTGACATCAAATCTGAAGACCTCAACCCTATTTGGTGGAAAATATTTCACACGTGGAGCTTCGAGTTGAACTGCTCGCAACGACCGCACAAATCTGGATGCACTACGACGAGAGCTTTCCTTTTCCAATAGAATGAACTCTCCAGGAGAAGAACCCGTACTACCACGAGTACCTCCTCGCATACACTGCTCTCCTTCGAAATCTCTCCCCTGTCGAGCAGCTTGACATCATTTTCTTCAAGACGGAGTGGGCTACCACGCAAGTGTCTTGAGAGCACCTGCGCATTTTATATATGGCAACAAATCCAGTTACCATGAGTCGCCTGCTCACCCAACTAACGTCAGTTACAACGACTCTAGGGGAGAAAGCGGGACCTTTTTGTTGTACAGGACTCTCCTTTAGTTGGCAGGAACTAGGAGTTGTACTAAACGAAAGAGCACTCTGTTACCTTTCCAACTAGTGGAGAGTCCTCTACAACAGTGGTATCAGAGCTGGTCGGGGGAGTCTACGCGCGCGACAAGGAGCAAGCATGCCAACTTCAAGCGAGGCCTCCCGCACTTCCTTGGATGGTGTCGTTGCGAATTCCGGCAAACCCTGGGCAACTGCGACGATGTTCGACACGTCGGCGGTACCGATTTTCACGGGACAAAACTACTCCGCGTGGAAGTTTAAGTTCCAAGTGCTCATGATGGAGCGGGGACTTTGGGGTCTCTTCGATGGAGCAGAGAAGAAGCTGGACAACGAGGGCGACATCGCGGCATGGAAGAAGAAGGACCAAAAGGCGTTCGCTACGTTGATTTCGCGCATCGGCATCAAACTCGTAAGCGCGGTGCGTACGTGCATCAAGCTCGAAGCGTCGACGCATGAAGCGTGGAAGCGGCTCAAGACCATCCACGTAAACAAGACTCTCCACGGCAAGATCCTAGCCCGGAATGCGTTCTTCACGCTGAAGTGTCGCGAGGGCGAATCGATGCACGTGTATGCGGCTCGTGTAAAGGAACTCGGGAAAACGTTCATGGACCTCGGTGGAACGGACACGGAGGAGGATTGGATTTTGACCTTGCTATGCGGCCTTCCAGAAGAGGGGTCGACGGTGATTATGACACTTGATAACGTGCAAAACACTTGGACGAAAGAAATGGTGGTCGGTCAGCTTCTCCATGAAGAATCGCGTTGCCGACAATTGGCAAATGAGAGCAAAGGGACCGCCATGTTCTCCGGAGGAAAGTCCAAGTGGGGCAAGAGCGCGACGAAGAAATCGTCCGGTGGAAGCAAGCGCGGCAAGGGAAACGCATCGAACGGCGCGAGCAAGTGCCACTATTGCAGCAAACTGGGACACTTTTGGCGTGAGCATCGAAAGCGGCCGAACGATTGGACTCCATCAAAGGCGCGGAACCAAGAGGGCAACGCGCACACGGCATCCGGCGAGGCGGATGATACAAGGGAGTCGATCGTGTTATTGGCCGGTGACACGACCAACACTCCAAGCGACGCGTGGTTCCTTGACACCGGCGCAACACATTACATGACACACTCGGCATCGTTCCTCACCAACGTTGGTGCACCGAGGGACGTCACGCGCGTCGTCTTCGGAAACGACAAGTCGCTACCAGTGGTCGGAGTTGGGAGGATGCGTCTCATCGTCGATGGCGGACCGGTGGACATCACGAACGTGCTTCACGTCCCGGGGTTGAAGGTGAATCTCCTCTCCGTCAGTCAACTCGCGAAGAAGGGTGTGAAGGTCACCATCGACGATGCGAAGATGGACTTCTTTTGGAAGGGAGAGCAATCCGCGCGAGGTGTTCTCAACGGAGAACTCTACCAACTCAAGACGCACCCGAGAGTGGCTTCATCCAACATGGCGCAAGGCTCCATGGCGACTCTCAAGGTGTGGCATAATCGGCTTGTGCACACCAGCTCTGACTCGGTCAAGGAATTGGCCAACAAAGGATTTGCGAAGGGATTCGACGGTGACGACAAGGGCGTGTGCGCGGCGTGTGTCGAAGGAAAAATGGCTCGCAAGCCATTTAGTATCCGTACCTCACCCCTCGCTAAGGACCCGCTTGCGCTTGTTCACATGGACGTGTGTGGACCGATGCGGCATGCATCAAAGGGAGGAGCGCGGTTCCTCTTGGTGATGCTCGACGACGCGACACAGATGTGTTGGACCCGACTCTTGAAGGCAAAGGGCGATGCGACCACGGTGATTCAAGAGTGGGCGCTCGAAGTTTGCGATGACGACAAGAAGCGGATCAAGGCTATTCGCACCGACGGTGGCGGCGAATTCGTGAACGCGGAGTTTGAGAAATGGATGAAGAGCAAGGGCATCAAGCACGACGTCACAACACCCTACACACTTTAACAAAATGAAGCGGCGGAGTTGCTTAATCGCACGTTGGTGGAAGCCGTTCGTTCACTTCAAGCACGGCGTCACAACACCCTACACACTTTAACAAAATGGAGCGGCGGAGCAGCTTAATCACACGTTGGTGGAAGCCGTTCGTTCACTTCAACACTCCAAGCTTGGGAGCGAGTGGTGGGGTGAGGCGTGTTCGTTAGCGGCGTGGATTCGTAACCGTTTGCCGATGAAGGTGCTCCCGGGAACGACTCCGTTCGAAGCATGGACTGACCCGAAGCCGAACCTATCCCGCCTACGCACCTTTGGTGCCTTTGCTACAACCATGTATTGGACCCCCTTCGCCACAAGTTGCAACCGAAGGCTCGTGCGGCAATCTACTCTGGAATTGCGGCGAACGAGCGTCCGTGGCGAGTGTAGGAATTGGGTGACAAACGCGTCGTCACGTCTCGGGACGTGGTCTTTGACGAAGACAAGTTCCCGACGAAGGAACAACCAACGCCGCAACTCACCGTCGTCCTTCCCGTAAGAGAGGAGGATGAAGCGATCGCGGTTCCACCGCAAGTGGAAATGGAAACTGAAAATGGAGGGGGAGAGAACGAGGAGTGCGATCACGCCGTGGTGGAGGTCGATAGGGCCGGCTTCATACACGAGCCCCAAGTTAGGTGTGCCTTGGAGGTGGCGTAGGACGCATCCTCCTGCACGCACATGCTCGGTATGAGGGTTGCTCACGACTCGTCCCAAGCACCCCGGCGGCGTATGCGAGGTCGGGACGGGTAGAAATGGCGGCATACATGAGCGAGCCCACTAGCGAATGAAACCGCTTCCCTTCGGATTTTTCGAGGGCGGATTCTTCCTCCCCTGTGAGGCAAGAGAAGCCCGTAGCTAGTGGTGTCCCCACCGGTTTGCTACTGCCCATGCCGAAGCGCTCCACTACCCCCTTCACATATTTATCTTGGTGGAGATGGATGGTCCCGTTGGCTCGGTCGCGGTCAACGTGCATTCCGAGGTAGTACGTCACCGGTCCTAAGTTCCGCATTGCGAACTCCTCCCTATACATTGCTTGACCTCCCGAATGAGGTCCTAAGAGTCAGAGAAGAGGAGAAGATCATCAACGTAGAGCAAAAGAACCAATTGCTTCTCAATCTCCTTCAACACGTACAAGGCGATATCGCACTCGCTAGGCGCGAAGCCGTGAGTGCGCTAACTGCATGGGTATGTGCTTGTGTGGATGTGTGCTATACGATCTACATAGATATGTGTACTACCTGTATAGGTATGTGTGTGTGTGTGGCTGTGTGCTGCCCGGTTTGCATGGGTATGTGCGCTACATGCATGGGTATGTATGTGTGTGGCTATGTGTGGTGTGGTATGCATGGGTGATTGCACTACCTGCATGTATATGTGTGTATGTGTCTGTGTGTGTGTATGTGTGTATGTGGGTGTAGGTGTGTGTATGTGAATGTGTATGTATCTGTTTATGTGTGTGTGCATGGATGTGTGCTGTGGGAAACTCCTCCTCTCTTGCCCTCTCCTGGTGCCGATCCTCGTCCACCTCTACCTCATGCCTCTCCTCATGCTGTTTCTTCTATATATTTCCTGCCTTGCTATACTACTGCCTGTGCTGTCTGAGCTGTTGGTGCTGCAGCTTCTCCACTCTCGCCCTA